ACAAGAAACGAGCAAGTTGATATGCTTTTAATATTTTGTGAATGCAGAAAAAAAACTAGAAATGCTTGTACGTTGTACGCTCAGCGATATCCTAATAGAAGACATCCAAGTTATTTATACTTTTTCAAGTTAGAGGAAAGTTTAGAAATGAGGATTTCATTGTGGTGATGAAGAGATCTCGTTCGTAGTAAGTGAAGCAGCGGAGATAAATATTTGGGCATTTGTTCACTTTGACCCAACGGTATCTATTAGGCAACTGAAACGAGCAACAAACGTACATCGTTAGTCAGCTAGGCAGATTTTGAAGAAACATGGATTCAGCTCATATATACAAATGTCAGCTACACCATCACTTGTATGAGAATGATTTTCCAAAAAGATTGGCCTACTGTAACTGGTTTCGTGCCCAACTTCAAGAATATAGAAATTTTCATTATTCTATTTTGTGGTCTGATGAATCGCGTTTCGCAAATCTTGGGTTACTTGATAAAAACAATACACATTACTGGGCAAGTGAAAATCCACGATTGATGAGAGAAGCGGCCTTTCAGGACCGTTTTGGAGTGAACGTGTGGCTCGGAGTTCTGGGAGCCCGTATAGATTTTCTTGATGGTTTGCCCCTGGCTGGTAATAGGGATGTTGTATTTTACCCGACCACAACAGCAGAGAAGTTACAAGATACTTAACGGATAAATTCTTGAATCGTTGGCTAGGAACAAACGGGCCTATTAGGGGGCCCACACGATTACCCGACCGAACCATTTAAGACTTTTTCATTTGGGCCTACTTGGAGGAGGTTAATGTCACGCCTCCTATAAATCTGTTAGCGAATAACCGCAGCAATTAACACTTTATCTGAAGATTTTTTACACAATGGGTATGCAGAAACCGTAAGAAGGGTCAATAAATGCTACGAAAATAATGGAAGGCGCATTGAACTATATTAGCTGTAATATGAATGTTTAATAGTTTTTAGTTCTTAATTTCATGATATTTTTCTATAACTATAATATTTGGGCAAATTAGGTAGAATAGGGAGAAGAGGAGTAATCAAAGGGAATTATTTTGAGTCTTGTTATTATAAAATAGTAAATAAAAACATTTTTATTCTTGTCTGAAATTATAGTTTTTGATCACATCGCCACCTTGACAGCTTAAACTATTTGTGTCTTGTAAGCAATGTGACAGATTTTAGGTTATTCACGAATACCCTTATAGCGCCGGCATTTTAAAACGAAAATGTCACATCGTTGGAAAGGTAATTTTGCATATAGTTCGATTATGGAAAAAACAGATTTCCATTTGAAAAACAACAGTCAATGTCACTTCCGGTTAAACCGGAAGGGAGAGATCACCTATTTAACTTTCCAGAAATGCCTCTTAATGACTAACTAAACATGTCTCATTCTCGGAGCGATATCTTTATTTGCCAAAAAACCAGTATACAGTGCTTTTCTTTAATGCCCCCCTCCCCTTGGATTTTTTGAACGGATCAATTCAAAAAATTAAAACTTGAGGTAATGAAATTGATGCGTGGATACCATATTGTAGAGTAGAATTCACAGATGAAAATGTCAAGATGGCCGCTGGCCGCCGTCTTAAAAAAAATTATATGAAAACAGGGGTCTTGTGGCACATCATTTTGAAGCTCCTGACGAGTACTTTATAACCCTAGAATATAAAGTCAATACCTTTACCTACTACAAAATGGTGGTACATTTAATAATCACTTGAACACAAACCCACTAACATGCTTATCTCTAAAAATAAATGTAATTCCCTGCCGTATCCACAGCAACAGCGATAAAAACTTGTTTTGTTATTTTTTGTTGACAGTGACAATAATATCAGTACGAAAACAAACATCATTGTACAGTTAAAATATTCTTATTAAGTTTTAGTGCTAGATACTGTTTGAACTATTTTAATTCTCGTCCATTGGAAGAAAAAAACGAAGCGATTTTTTTTATGGTGCGACACGTAACTTTCACGAGACCGAAAGGATTTTTAATGATCGTTTCCCGAATCGTCCTATCTGTAGAAAATATTTAAGGGAACTTTTATCTAAATTTACAGCTACTGGTAGTGTAAACAACAAAAAGCCCCCAGGTCATCCGACCATCCCGGAAGTAAATCAAGTTCAAATAATTGGTGAGATCATAGTAAATCCCCAACAGTCTACTTCCTCCATCGCGAATGTATGTGAGGTTTGTCCTTCTACTGTATAGAGACTTTCGAAAAAGAATAAGTATTCAAAATTCAGCTAACTGAAGTTGACCCTGATCGAAGAACAAAATTTTGCGAGACTATGATGGAAACCATTGCACGGCATCCTGTATATATCCAAAATATTTGTTTTAGTGATGAATGTACATTTTTTCTCAACGGTACGAGCCCCTTCCCACTTCAGTTGGCCAACTTCAAGATTTGTACCAAAATATGCCTTTATAAACTAAACATGACGAAACTATTTACTTCTAAAACAATTTATTTTCTCAGAAACATTTTAGATACACTCTAGTCGTAAAAAATACATATTTGAAATCACTTAGACCTATAACTAATAGAACATCTGAACAAATAAACAATGTGCGAATAAATGCGCGAAGTTAACAAAGTAACCATTGGATAACATCACCTTTATTTTTTATTACGACTGAAATTCTTTGGGGCATAGTGTTAACCAAGTTTTGGCAAAAATTTGGTGTAAAACAATCCCATATTTCTCGAAGCTTTTGTCTCAGTTCGGTGATTGTACTAGCAGGATGTTGTCGTAGAACCTTTTTCATCTCGTGCCACAAAGTTTCAATAGGTGACAGATCTGGACTGCTAGAAACCCATTTCAAAAGTGGTACATTATTTTCTTCCATCCATGTTATAGCCTTTTTTGAGGTATGGCACGCTGCACCATCTTGCTGAAACACAAAATCTTGGCCGGATGTCAAACATTCTTCCATCACTGGTAAAAGCAATTCTTCTAAAATTGCCAAATATTTGTTTGTATCCACACTTCCATCAATAAAATGAAGTTTTCCTACTCCTTTTGATGACATACTGCCCCAGAAGACCATAATGGATGCTGGAAATTTCACTTTTCTCTTCAGACAGTCAACATGGAATGCTTCATTTTTTTGCGAATAACTCTACTGCGACTGTCACCAACACAAACTTCGGAGCGAGCGTCATCACTCCATTGTATTGCACACCATTGTTGAGGTGTCCATTGTCTATGTTCTTTAGCCCATCTAAGCCGATTTTTCTTTTGCAGTGGAGTTAATAGTGGCTTTAAACAAGTTGTGCAACTTTAGGGTTTTTACTTCACTTTTTTTATAACTTACCTTGCAGGTGCTAAATCCCAGTTTGTGGGCCTCTCTATGAGTTGTGGACCTCGAAATTCTCCTTCCAACAGCGTCATTCCACAGAACACTTAATTGTAAATAATTGACACGCCTGTTTTTCACGATTATTCTTCTTAATGCTCTTCTGTCGGCATTTGTGATATTACTTTTTTTCACATATCGTGGCTTAATATTAACTGAACCAGTTACGTTATATCTTCTAACAATATTTCTCACACTGTACTGCGATAAGTCTAACAAAGTTGCAATTTCTGAGTTTGATTTCCTAGACTTAAAAAATTTAATTATCAGTAACCGAATTTTCTCACTAATAACCTTTCCTCTACCTATTTTGAAAACCTTAACTACCCAAAACTATTTTAAACGTATGCTGCCAGCTGTGATTAATAAAATCAATTGTCATGGCTTTTATTTTTCACAGCCACCTATGCGTTATAGACTTATTTTGCATTGAAATGAAAATAGATTGCTATGCTGTAATTGCAACATGTGTTATTTTTATGCTGCAAATTTGACTAGGAAGTGATAAAGTTGGTGTTTTCTACTATATATTATCAAAATATTCATTGTTAATATTTTAAACCTATAACACCCTGCTACATTTTTATCATTTGTGTTTGATAAGAAAAAACTAAGATTTCAATAGTTGGGCCAACTGAAGTGGGAAGGAGCTCGAAATGTGCATAGACAAATTGTCGTTTTAGGAATGACACGAATCCTCACGTCTTCGGGGAAACTCATACTCAATATCCACAAAAAAATAACGTTTGATATGCTGGAAAATACTATTGACCCTCTAATCACCGAAATCGTCGAAGCGAATCCTAATGAATTCGATACTGATATTGTATTGCGGCAAGATGGTGCTCCACCACTCTACTACAGACAAGTTAGGAATTATTTTGATAACAATTTCCCCGGTCGATGGATTGGCCGTCGAGGTTCTGTGGAATGGCCAGCTCGCTCGCCAGATTTGACACTTTTAGACTTTTTTTATGGGGCTATTTGAAGCAAAAGGTGTACGAAACTGAATCTGCTTCAGTATTGGATATACGGCTGAGAATAACAAATATTTGTAGAATTATCGATGTCATTATGTTTGAAGATGTTCGACGCGAAATTACGGAACGGCTGTTATTGTGTCAAGAAGTTCAAGGCAATCATTTCCAGCATCTTCTAAACTGAACTCAACGTGTTTATTCGAATTATCTAGTTAAATTTCAATGTATTCAGGTAATTATTAAATGTACCACCATTTTGTAGTAGGTAAAGTTATTGACTTTATATTCTAGGGTTATAAACTACTCGTCAGGAGCTTCAAAATGATGTACCACAAGACCCCCATATAATTTAGTTTCCAAGATGGCGCCCAGCGGCCATCTTGACATTTTAATCTGTCAATTTTACTCTAAAATATGGTATCCCCGCATCAATTTCTTTACTTCAAGTTTTAATTTTTTGAATTCATCCGTTGAAAAAATTAAAGGGGCGGGGGACATTGAAGAAAAGCACTGTATACGTAGGTTAGTTCTTGTTCGGTTTAATGCTTTATGTAAAGATATTGTAATCTGTCACATAAAGATAATGTTTTTTATGTAATGGAAAACGGTAAATAAATGAATATATTCTTTTATTGCTTAGGTTGTATCCGGAGGTGTAGCATGTAACAACTTTATAGCCGAAGGGCTCAGAATGGTGTGTGATGAACTAGGCTATAGAATGGTCAGACCACCTCCCAAATTATGTACAGACAATGGTGTGATGATTGCCTGGAATGGCGTAGAAAGTAAGTGGTTTCGAAGTGTTATTGAGATATTAGGTTTTTTACACTAGTCTAATCATAGCAAATTTCCCCGAAATAATTGTAAAGTTTGGTTTTATTGATGCAAGTTGTTCAAGGGGGTATCCAGAACATGGACCCATAAAATGGGTACACTGATTTTTGTGGGAAAACCTTTTATTCGACAAGCAAAGAATGAGAAAACGTTTTTTTTGGGATTCAATCGAAAGTGTTGACAAAAACGAAAAAACTCTTCAAAGTACATTTTTAGGTATTTACGAGACATACAAAATGAGACCATACGCAAAGATTCGACTAATAGCAAACAAGTTATGGCCGAAAACCTAGGCAAACTGCAGGCTTTGGCACTTGTTGGTAATGCGACGATGGTTTCTTACCGATACATGAAATTTTTCAAATTCGTAGGCTTCATACTTTTCAATAACCACAACAAAATTGAAGTAGATTGGTCAAGTAGTTCTTGAGAATTTCTAATTGTTTATTTCAAAACACCTGGTTTCCGGCCATCACTACTAGCTTGGTGAACAATATACAGGGTTCGTTCAAAGATCATTTTATATGAAAATACACGAGTTCACCTTGCCCATAGGAATCACGAACCATTCCGAAAGATAAATGTTATTTTTATGCGAGAAACAAAGGGTTAAGTTTTTTCTTATAAACAAATTCAAACATTTCGTATTTGTGAGTAACTAAACAGAAGCGCTATGATATTCGAAAAGCATATACAGGGTGGCCCATCCATGTGTAGACGGAACATTACTCATAAACAAATAGATTTTGGGGAAATCTATTTATGGCATATCATACAAGACATTTGAGGGCACATTTCTAAAATATTGGCAATTATACAAGATTTCTCAATTTTGACATACATATCAAAGTTGTGATTTTTTAAATGGAATGCCTCAAATTTTATCGCATAATTGGATAAACCAATTCAAAAGAAGAAGATTGATATAACATACTATGGGGTTTTGGTAATTAGCTACTGAGATGTAAAGTGTTTGATCCAGAAAAAGCCCTCACTTCGGCAACCCCTCAATCCGGCATTTTGAAATTTGGAGTACTGAATTTTGTATCAAAAAAACTTACACATCTCAGCTTTTATCTTAATTGTTACTTTTTCGAATTTTCATTTTTGCTCATACAGGGTGGTCAAAAACACGAATTGTACTTTTTCTCATAAATTTAAAATGCATCAACCTGTATATTTGTGCAAGTTTGGATTCAATTTTTTATAAGATTTTTCTTGATATAAGGTTTGATTCAGATCAAATTACTAGACTTTGAGTTATTAAGCTTTTAATAGAACAACACTAAGGAAAAAATCTCATCATCCATGGAAACAAAAGACAAACAGTGGGCTAGTTCCATATTGCCACTAAGAGTACAGTTTTGACGTGAAAACTAATAGCAATCAGAACAGTATAAATCAGCTTAATAGAGACAAACAACTATAACAACATAAACAAACAACTATCACTACCCAAGACCTAATCTACAAGAACTGCTTGAAAATATCTCCACCATGTTGAATACACAGCCATAGTCTTTCGATAAATGACCGTTGCACATCCCTCAGCATGTGTTCCCTTATGTTCAGAAAAGTATCCTTAATCCTTTCCTTCATATTTTCCTTGGTAGATGGTTCATATCTATAAACCTCTTGCTTAACGTAGCCCCATAGAAAGAAGTCTATCGGTGTCATATCTGGTGATCTAGGAGGTCAAGATATAGGCCCATCACGACTGATCCAACGATTGTTACTCCAGGTGTCCAAATAGTTACGCACACGATTATGATAATGCGCAGGTGCGCCGTCATGTTGGAAGTACATATGCATCCGAGTTTGCAGGTTGGCATCATCCAAAAGCAAAGGCAAATGCTCGATCAGAAAATTCAAGTATTCTGTAGACCTGTTAATCCGTTGTCGAAAATTAAAGGCCCGATAACTTGTCTGCCAATAACTCCTCCCCAAACATTCAAGCACCATTTATTTTGGAAATCTATTTGCCTAACCCAGTAAGGGTTTTCCGTCGCATAATAGTGCATGTTATGCCTGTTGACAACACTTATGCTGTTAAAAGTTGCCTCATCGCTAAAAAGAACCTTATCCAGGAAAGTAGTGTCTTCACTCATTTATTTAGCATTGTTCTACTAAACTCCATTCGAGCTGCGAAATCCTGAGTACGACGGCCTTGATGCAAGCATAGGTGATATGGATGATACCTATCTATGCTTGTGAATAATTCTTTGGACAGAAGTTCTGCATATATCAGTTTCTGCTTCAATTTGCCGTGCACTTAAATGGGGATTTTCCTGCAACTTTAATAGAACCTCCAACTGATTCGCCTCATTGGTAACACTTGGATTATTTATACATTTTTTACTATATTCCACTGCTCCACTTGACTCAAAACGTTCTCGAGGTGTGGAAAATGTTTCCGGCCTTGGATGTCGCATATTAGGGTACCGTTGGTTATAAATGCGAGATGCTAGGAAACTATTTCTTTGGGCTTCACCCAAAACGAACACCATATTCACAATTTCTTCTATAGAAAAATTCATTTTCAAACACGTTTTTATTATAATACAAACCTAATTTTGACAGTTTGTAACTAATCAACAATTTATTTGTTTCCACGGATGATGCGATATTTTGGGGAATTAAGCTGTTCCATAAAAGACGTGCTAATAACCGAAAAAATAGCAGTAAAAACCCTTGTGTCTAGTATCAAAAAAAGCTTATAAAGTCCACCCTGTACGAACAAAATTAAAATTCGAAAAAGTAACAAATACTAATATAAAAGCTGAGGTGTGTAAGTTATTTTTTATACAAAATTCAGCACTCCAAATTTCAAAAGGATTGAAGGGTTGCCGAAGTGAGGGGTTTTTCTGGATAAAACATCTTACATCTCAGTAGCTAATTACCAAAACCCCATAGTATGTTATATCAATCTTCTTCTTTTGAATTGGTTTATCCAAATATGCGATAAAATTTGAGGCATTCCATTTAAAAAATCACAACTTTGATATGTAGGTCAAAATTGGGACACCCTGTATAATGGCCAATATTTTAGAAATGTGCCGTCAAATGTCATGTATAAGATGCCATTAATAGATTTTCCCAAAATGTATTTGTTTATGAGTAATATTCCGTCCATAGATGGATGGGCCACCCTGTATTATTATAGACATTTTAAATCAAAGCAGATGTGTCTATCACCTTTTTTGCGAAGAAAAAAATTGTTTTCAAGATGTGTTCATACTCTTATGTATATACTTCGAAGTTGAGTCATTTATTTTAACAGTGAGTAGATCTGATCAAAAGAAATGTTTTTTTCCTATAACATTTTTCTGGTAAAATTAAAGTAACAAAGTTATAGCCCTTTAGAAGTTTGAATACCGCCCTGTCTCAATAATAATATTATGTGCTCGTGTTTCGCAACAATGGATATAATCCGCCTTATCGTTTCGTCGCATCGGACACAAAAAAGCGAAAGAATTTGAAACGCTTATTCAGTTGTATTCATTCAATGTGTCAGTCGGTAACGCGTGAGTGAATAGTGGTGTTTGTTGCGTGGCTCAAACGAAATAAAAAATGGCACATGTTTACGAAAATGCTGAACTTGTGGACATGATTATTATTTACAAAATGCTGCCGCGGCATCACGAATTTATGCGGATCGGTTTCCCAATCGAGTGCAACCGACCCCTCGTGCCTTTGTTAATGTAGTACAAAGGTCCGCACTGAAATACTTGTCGGGAGGATACTTTATAAAACAAGGTAACATTTTTTTTTTAATTTTTTTTATTTTTACACACATATTTTGGTTTATCTTCCTTCTACAATCATTATCTGAAAATTAATGACTCAACTTCAAAGTCACCCTGTATATTTAGAGGAGAAATTTTTATACGCATACAGATGAGCCTTACAATTCATAAAAAAATTACGTCATACTGAAATGCAATGAACTGTTTATAAAGTTAGCACGCAAACTGAAGACACAAGTTACAAACTGTCTTAGTCTATTTGGTATGCAGCATGTGCTAAATGGTTACATTATTGATGACTGCATGACTTTGTCTAATAAGTAGGTCACGTGATCCAGTTTCTTTACGAAGAAATATAATTCCCAGGACCTTTTTTAAAAGTATTAATATAGTATACGTTTGATTTCGAAATCTCGTTCGATTAAAACGATTGCGAGTTCAAAATATTGGAAAATAAACTTGAATAAAAGAAAAAACAATAGACAAATATCAACCGATTGAAGCGAACTGACCGTCTGAAAAATTTGGCAAAATTGTGGGTATTAGTCCCTAATACGTTATTTAAAGTTTCAGCGTTGTATTTTGTATAGTTTTCGAGATTGTTCTAATTGTTTATAACGGATTTGATGTGCCGCCAACGTTCGATTGACATTTGTTAGTGTCAACTATAATGGTATAAAGATTCAGTGAACCAAGAGGCGTCGTAGTGGGTCGTTCTATAAAATTTATGTTCCAGAACCTTGTGTTTTTATTTATTGAATTACCTTTATTTCTAGATGGAGAGAAAACATAGACATACATACAAATTTTGACCATATCAACATAGAAAAGACTGCACCCTTAGGGACAAGTATAATTGAAGATGTTGAACGAGAGAGGATCAGTTGCAGATGGGTGAAACTGAAGAAACTTACACTTCCGCAAAGTAGTTGGTCGGAAATCGAAAATGTTAATATTGCCAGGAAAGCAGATTACTCGTGAATAGTTAAGACCTCACATGGGAATCTGATATACAGAGCGTTTCGAAAAGGTTCCCTCCAACTTATTTCTTGGGCAAGTCAACAAGTGCTGGAGCGGAGCTGCGGCACGAATTCTATTAGTGGGATGCCGTGATATGTAAAACAAGATTATCTAGGAAACATTTTTAAAATCCAAAGATCCATAAGTCAAACTTGAAAATCTGTAATGAATACAAATATTATTGCTAAATACAGCTTCTCCAAGTTGTGTGTTATACGTCTGTCGTATTTATTTCCAGTCAAATGAAGCGTGCCGACACAGGCTTAAAAGCTTATAAATTGGAAAGATCCTTGCTACGAGCCGACACGTCCAATGACAATGAAATTTGTATCTTTATATTTTTAATTTTCATAAGACTCATTAAAAAGTATTGGAATATAGTCAGTATGTTAAATGGTGAGGTATATATTAAAAATAAACATACAATTAATATTAAATAAATAAATATAACAGGTCACACACATACATTAAGTAGTATATACCATAAATTTAACAGACGATCCTTTGAGTAATTTTAAGATAAAAATTTCATATAAACATAGGTCCGTAAATTCTTAGTTGTCAAGATGTCAATTAAAAAAAAAATGCTGTTTCGTAAACTTCTTACCTAATTTTGTTGTAATTTGGCGGTCGTATTCATAACATTAAGGAGACAATTTAGCTTTAACTTGATTAAATTTTAAGTCCAGTGGCGTCTCGAGCGGGAGCTGAACGGATATTTGTGACAAAAAAAACACACCACTGACGTTTGTGCAATTTTTATTATATTCTTTGGATTAAACAAATAGAAATACAACTTTTTTGTCTCTTAATTTTTCCGTATCTTGCTTAGTTTTCGCGAAAAAAGTCTACTTAATTGAATATCCCTGGACCACACAAGAAATATGGAGAAATGTTTCTTTTGGAAATTATCTTTTTTATAATTTTTATTACCAATTATGTAACAAGAACAAATGCAATTAACATCTGGAGTAACAAATTCCACTAAATTAAGTGTTGGAAATGGCCCCCTCCGGCTTCAATACAATCGTGTAGCCGCCTCATTATTGAATTACGCTCTCTCCTCAAAATGCCTGGCGAATTTTTTATTGTCACATGAATTAATGATCCTATTCCATAATTCCTTCTCACTTTCAATATGAGTGTTGTATACTAACCCTTCAAGGTCTCAAAGAAAAAAATCTAAGAGATTCATATCGGGAGAGCGAGGGGTCCATAGGTGAGGGCCTTCTCCCTATCCAAAAACTGCCGCGCCACTACACCAAAGATTAGCCATCCAACTTGCACATCCCTCTTGCATCTACTGGCCTTCAAAAATACCGAATTGCAACGTTGTATTAGCACCGAAGACGGTCTAAAAAGCATGATTGATTCTGGAAGGTAATGTCCGAGCAATAAATTATAGATAAAAGGTACCGCATTCTATAGATGCGCGTGGCTTGGTTGTCTCCAGTGGCGGTGGGCTATTGCTGTTGATCAGGTGTAGGCTTAATTCAATTCCCAATATGGTGTGATTTTCAAAGCAGATTACATCTTTATTTGTATGTAATATATCTCCAGGCTTGTCAAAAGCAAAATATTGCTTTCAAATTTTTGGGAGAAGCAGGTTATTTGATTAATTCTGATATGGTAGGTTAGATGTTTGGTATTGAATAGACAAGCCGTAAGTGCTAGGCTACCGAAAATAGTTACGTTTGGAAACTGAACATTCTCGTATAAAATATAAATATGAAAAACGTTTAGTTTACGAAATTAGCGCTGGCTATTTATCCTCCTTGTAACCAATTTCATTAGCTCTGAAAAGTATTTCACCAGTATTTATTTTAACCACTTTCTGTGTCTATACAAAACTGCTTCTTACTTTGTAGACATACTGGTAGGTTCAGCCACTTTAGACAGAAACCAAATATATAGAATTTTTGCTTTTCCAGAAATCCTCCCAATGCTAATACAAACAATTATGATCAGTCATGATTTGTTAATTTTATTCATCTGTGACTTCCTAGCTTAGTCCGATGACGGAAATTTGAAATGTGCCCATAAAAATGATTTGTAGGAGCCACTGTTGTGGTTGATTTCGCGATAGTAATTGTTTCCTGTAGATTGAGATATTGCTCAACCAGTGGTCTTATCCAGGAAAATATCTGGGGGGAGGCTCAAGATCCAGAGTGACACGAAAATTCCGTCTCGGGGCGGGGAGGGGTGTCTTGGAGACATAAAACTGCATAGCAGAGGGGGGGACTCGTTTAGTCCAGGTAGCTACACTTCACAGAAGGTATAACATGCAGTAATATGTAGAAGAAGCGTAATGAGCTGTTGCGCTTCGGGAGGGTAGACTCCGAGGAGCCCCAAAGCCCTCCCATGAATACGCCGGTTTGCCCATAACAGAATAGGAACAGAGGCGTGGGGTGGGGTCTGTGAGCCTAGCTCAAAGAGTTACGCGCTTCTTTCTAATATCATTGGGATTGCACCCAGCCAGCGGCGGCGACGAAGTAAGTAAGAAATGAATAAGTCCTTGATTCAATTTACAAATTAATGCATTAATCAAAGAAACTATGCTGTTTTTAGTCATAAAATATTACCAGACATTTGAAAAACAAAATAGTATTTTAAATTTCAATAGGTATTAAGAGTAATCCATGTAATTTTTTCTTATGAATGTGGAAGTGGAACAACCAGCGGGTACGCTTATGCAGTCGGCGGCACGGCACCTCAAAGACAAAACCTGTATTTTGTGTTTTTGGCTCACAAAGAAATTGACAGTAGCTAGAAAAAAGTCATATTTTTCTATTTAACTCTTACATTTAGTGGATTTAGCATGGATAATAAGTTGTTGTTCGAGTGGTGTTCTGGAGAGCAGTAGTGTTGTAGAAGAAAGAAGATGTCTCGACAACAAACAACCCCGCGTGAGAGACGAATGATCATCAAATGTTATGAGATGGGAATATCCAGCGCGGAGATAGCAGATCAGTTTGATATGTCGGTAAATTATACAGTCTTTTTGATCATAGTACACTTTTCTGAATGTTACTTTTTCTATTAGCTAAGACAAGTCCAAAACTGGATTAGGCGGAATAGGGAAGGTGGCAGTTTGGAAACCGACAGGTAAAATGTCCACAGACTTATCAAATGAAGACGTGAGCAGGCTGATTGCGTTCAACAACGAAAATAGGTTTTGTATGACGCTCGCAATGCGAGATAGACTGGGGCTACAGTGGGTAGATATCTGCATAAGGAAAGGCATCCACAGAAGGATACCGGCAGTGAAGCCACTGATTGATCATAGAAGGAGAAGATTACAGTTTTGCCAGGAGAACCTGAATAGGGACTGGAGCACCGTAGTCTTCTCCCGAGTAAAAATTTTTTTGTACTAATACGGATTACCGACCGCCGCTATGGCGTCGGAATAACACCAGATACGACCCAGCAAACATAATCCCCAACAGAACCACGGGTCCGACGACAATGAGATGGACCGGGGGATTTAGTTAGTATAACTGGTAAGAGATAATTAAGTTACAACTATACTTTTCTAAAGTTAGCAAGAGCTGCTAGTGGAACCACTTGATCGACTTCGTCGTAGGGCTGCGTGCTCATTATTTTACGAGTATCTATTTTACTCCTTGCACAATTGATGGTTTCCGGCATTGCACCACCCATAAGAGTTATATTAAAATACAAAACCATTTGGAATTACCGAATGCGCTACCGTGGTGTCCGAAACGTCAGTGAAAAAGTAATTCAAACATATGTGGTTTCGTTTGCTCAGACCCAAACCACAAAATGAGTTTTAGGTATTACAGTAAAATACAATAAATAGACTCTATATAACATATGCATTGCACGAAAATCCCCAGTTTTTGATGTCTTCTTTTGTGGATTCTTTAGCATCACCCGAAACTGTAAAAACATATATGAAAAATTCTTGAGGTTTCGTTCTCAGTTTCCCTCAAAGTAAAATTGTTCATTTCATGTTCACACACATACACATACACTTACACACACGCACGTGGTGTTCGAAATATATTGCATTTTAGCTCCCTTTTCTTGTCCTGGAAGAAATACGTCGTGACCCTGTGTGTACCTCGGTCCCTCATAGCATGATCCTGTTATTTACAGACAGAATGAACTCGCAACAATATGTGGACATTTTGAATAATAGTTTTATCCCATCATACCGGATTCTCTATCCACAAAGTACAGTACAAGATAATTCCGCCGTTCATACGTCACACATGGTGCGAAATTATCTTGCACAAGAGGATTACAATGTCATTGCCTGGCCAGCAAAATCTCCAGACCTTAACCCAATAGAAAACCTGTCGGGTATAATGGTCCAAAAGTGGAGCACTGGCGGACCGCTCCCCAATACGCGGGATAATCTAGACACCCATTGTAGGCGGATATGGGAGTCCTTCCGGGGAACGGATGTCTGCAAAAACTTGGTGGACAGCATGCGCACTAGGATGCAATCCTGTATAGACGTAGAGGGGCATCCTATCGCATATTGGTAAGATATTTTATATAGCGTATTGTGTTTATTATTTATATTATATATCATGCATTAAAATCGGCTCCGTACAATGATTGCTCGAGGTATCGCATTAACATGGTGGAACATACAAAAATGATTTTGTCTATCATTTGCTACCCCTTCTCTCTTCTACTACCCCTAAAACACATTGACGCATTTAGAAGGCTGGCTAGTATTACCTCTAATTGCATACTATGACAAAAATTCGGCCTGATTTTTTGTTCAATTTCGTGTTGTGCTTTTTGTCACTGGAAGCAAACTGTAGCCAAACTGGTTTCACAAAGCTTCTTTGAAAACTTTAGGCAGGCTTCGCCTTGAAATGATATTCCCAATTTGGGGGATGGGACGGAGATTTTTTTCAGTGTATAGTATAGAAACATTGTATGTATAAAGGAAATCTATTTTGAATAACAATATGTATTTTTTTCAGAATGCTACGTGGCCCGTATTAGATTTTGTAAGAATGCTTTTGTTTATGGATTTATACAGAAACTTTTTTTTTTTTGAGAATTCTAGATTGATTTATTACTTGTTTGTATTTAAAGGATATTATTTTTATTTTAATTGCATGGAATTAACTGTTTTATTTTATTATTTTATACTATATTATATATACTCCATAATCATTTGAATTTTTATTGAACCACTCACTACCTTATTATAATAATGAGCTGATGGATTATAATTTATTGTTTGCGCCAAATATTTGACCTATCATAGAAAAATTCATCTCTCAATCTCTCTCTGTTTGGGGACCAGTTATTAAACAGCCCGGCCGTCGGCAATGAGTAATCAGGGGAGCAGAAACACTTCGTTCGTCTTTATGTAGAGCGTCCCTCTTTTTTCCTGTATAATTTATTGCCGGTTTATTTCTTTGATCTCCTTTACCGCCGTCTGAGCAAAAGCTAAACATACACGGTAATGTTTACCGAAAGGACATGCCATTTTTTTTCCTATACTCCAACTACCACGAAGGCCTAAGGCCTAAGCACCCATTGGGTACCGTGGGGCTATAGGGGGATACATGGGAAAAGGGGGGACGCCACACGGACTCTGGCGAGGAAACACGTGTGCATGCAACATGCACACATTCTGGCACCGCCTACGCGAACCGCCGGGTGGTACCTCCGCGTTCGACAGTCAGAGACCATCTACCACTTACGGACAATCACAACATCCATAGCCAAGAGAAAAATTTCTCCTGGGACGGGACTCGAACCCGCAAAGCGCACGGCGACTGATCAGGAGACCGAAGAGTCTACTACTGCGGCCACCACTGCTGCCTAAAACAAACACACATCCATGGCGAAGCCGAGATTCGCACTCGCGGCCCGGCCGGCCGGCTGATCAGTAGCACGACACGCGGCCAACCGAGGTCCCGAGGTCCCGCCATAAACAGGTTACCCCCTCCCCCCATACTCGCCGCTTTATTGAGCTAGTGCCTAAATTTCCACGCCACTAGACAGCTGTTTTGCTTTGACTGGCCATTTGATTTATCGTGGTTAATTATTTAATTACAAAAGAAAAGGAAGTAGCAGCATTTCCTTTTTTTGGCAATCCAGCCTCCATATTCAAATTTTCTACTACAAATTTTGCGTATTTACGCATGCAACAAAATCATCAAAGCGAGTTTCAGATGGCCAACATGATCTGTTCAAAAAATAATATAGGCGGGGCCTTTTTAAAGAGCACCGACTATTCAAAATAAAAGTGACATTTTATAAGCTTGATGAATGTTCTATATGCTTTAATAAGCACTAGTCAGAAATAAAAGAAATTAATCAAAATATTACCTTTATTTTCCTTATTATACATTACACTCGCATTCATACGCGAATTGGCTGTTTTTCGCTTATTTTTTGCCTGATTTCTTGATACAGCCCACTATTTGCTTTTAGCTGTTCTTGCTGTTCAAGTTCAGCAAGGACATCTAGCAGATTCCTAAGTCTATTTTTTACATATTCTACATCTGCAGGTCTTTCTTTCGCCGACACTGGTATTATATCACAGAACTTCAAGATGTTTTCTGGTCTTATTTCACTTGGATAGTCTTTAAACGATTCTGAAAATGTAAATCTTTTGTGAAAAAATAAACTAAATAATAGTTATCAAACTTTGATAATGAAGTATTCATATACAGGATGGGCCATTAAATTGAGCGGATTTAAATAAATCGTAGTAAAAACTAAAAAGCTTAGGGAAGATAATTTATATTTTTAATAAAGTTGACACATTTTATTTTTTTAAAATAACATCTCGGGAATGTAATGCTTGAGCTGGACAATCGTCGTCGGTTTATTGGCTTAAACGCGGCTCTTGAGGTATCCCTAGAGAAAAAAATCCACTGGCGTGAGATCTAGGCTCCCCGGAGGCCACGGAATATCCCCTCGTCGCGGTATCAGTTTTAAAATAATTATTTCTGTTTACTATTACTATTATTACTGTTACAGACTGGCCTTGCTCGTTTTCGAAGAAATATGCTCCGATGATTCCTTCAGCCAACATGGCAGCCCAAATTGTAACATAGAGCGAATGTAAAGGTCGTTGGTGTTTTAATTTGGGATTTTCTACGGCCCGATACCAGTTATTTTGCTAATTGACAAATCCACTCAAATGAAAATGAGCTTCACCAGAAAAGAGGATATTGTTCAAACTTGGAAACCGCTCTAACATTGTTCAGGTAAACGCACGGCGTAGATAGTGGTCCTGCGGTTTCAATTCCTGCATTAGTTCAAGTTTATATGGGTACAAAATATTCTGGATTTGGCGAGCTGATCTCTTTCGGGCTGTGGATCGCGCCGTACGGACGTCACAACTTCGCTTACAGTTTCCTCTTTTCGTATTAACCTTGGACGCCCCGCAGGTTTCTGATTCAGTATCGACCGGTAGACTCGAACTTTTCTGATCCACCACCTAATCACACTTTCACTTAGATCATGTAAACTAAACTCAGAGCGAAACAGACGCCGCTCACCGGTGGAACGCTCCATGGCGACTAAATTTCCGAGCACCAAGCTACTTATCCCCAGTACCCGTGTCTCGCTCCCGGGTTCCTGTCAAGATCAATGCGGTTTTGAAGTTTGTACGTCTTTCTGGTCCACCCTGTATTTACAATCAGCGTAGTTTTACTGTCAACAAAATTCACCGAAAGATAATAAGCGGTGAAGTACAGGGAACTTTCGTAAATACACAAATATTAGACTTTGTGCAATCAATTTTACCTTTAAGATTTTTCAGCTTATCTTTGACTTCTTCAAACCGCTGAATAGATCCCTCAGTATCCATTTTATTGATAACAAGAATTGACGGTTTTTTCACCAGTTCGGCATTGTACATTTCCAGCTCCTAGAAACGCAAAATAATATCACTTTTATCTGAATTAGATGGTTATTTGTCATAATATAAGCCAAATGTTTAAAATAAAAAAAACCTGGGTTTTAATTCCCAACAATGAGCAACGGCCATTTTATTTATGAACACAATTCACAATAAAAAAGTTAAACGCTGGACCTTTTTCAAAGTACAATTCAACAATGATGGTGGAGGGTGGGTTTGAGGGAACAACATCGATGATAAAATTTGATTCACGGAAATCTATAGGATTCACCACCACCTGCAATCTAATCGTTCCCTACACTAACAAAGCTTCTGGTCCAGACTTGATTCCTGCCATTGTACTGAAGAGGTGTACAGCGGAGCTTACTCCTGTTCTTTCGCGGCTGTTCCAAATATCTTACGAATCCAATCATCTTTCCAGAAAACTGGAAATTTGCTCATGTTCAACCGATCCCAAAAATGGGATGTAAGATCGACCCTTACGACTAGAGGCCTATGGCTCTCACCTTTCGATTATAAGTAAGGTGATGGAGAGGTGCATAAATCGCGGGCTTTTGGACTACCTCTAACGTCACGGCTTGATTAGTGACAAGCAGTATGGTTTCCGTCATCAGCGATCCACAGGGGACCACATGTCATTAATTGTGGAGTAAACTCATTCGGTCTTATGGTTAGGCTCATGCTGTTGCTCTTGATATCACGAAACTGTTCTATCAGCTGTGGCACGCTGTCCTCTTATGCAAACATCCATACTATGGCCTCCCAGAGAAGCTTTGCAGATGGGTGGCTGACTTTGTCTCTGTTTGCAAGAAGAACAAAAATCGTCCCATCCGGTTCATTTAGGCTGGTCCGAGTCACCGACGAAAAAGCTAGGCGGTTTGTTTGGGGCTAAGAAGTACTTTTCTCTCTGACCTCCTCACTCTATACAAGACCCAGATCAGACCTAGCCTCGAGTATTGCTCACACGTTTGGGGAGCTGCCGCCCCGACTACATTATCCATGCTCGATGCTGTCCAGAGGAGGACTGTCTGACTGATCGATGACTCCTTTCTAACAGACAGTCTTAGGACCCTTTCGCGCCAGCGGGCCGTTGGCGATCTAGTTCTCTTCTATGATTTTAGCCTCCCATCCTAATCGTGTCGAACTTTGTACATCCAGAACTGGTCGATATGACCGCTCTTTGTACCGAGGGTGTCGAGATTGTGGAACAATCTACAAGAGGAAGCTTTTCTCAGTTCTACTAAACTAAGGCAGCTCAAAAATCAGGTTAACAACATTTCTTTGGGATCCTCACAGCGGCGCAGTGTCATGGCATTTAGGATTCTGCCTAAGCGGCTACGTCGGTATAAAAAAAATTAAGACCTACTTAAAAAAGTATCAACTAGCCTATTGTAATTATCTATCAGGTTGAAACTCATACAAAATCTATTACTTGCGTGACGAATAAACATCCACACTTGTGCACGTTATCTGCATATTGAGGCAAATACCGAAAAAATAGAATATGTGCACAGGTATGAAGTGATCCAGACAATCGAGATGCTGCAGAATGAAACAAACAAACTACAAACGAACCGGGCTTTGTTAGGTTAAGAATTGCATCTAGATATAGAAATTATGTAAAGCTCCAGGTAAGGATGGCGTTCAACGAGTAGTATATTGAAGACGTTGAAAATGAACATGTGTTTGAATACTACTGCACTAAAAAATTAGAGCGAAAATAGTGAGAAAAGTGAATGTTTTTAATGAAAAGTGACTAAAAGTGAGATGGATCGAAAAAAGTGAATCGCCAGCATCCCTGCTATCGAGGAGGCCTATACGGCACTTCTTACGCAAACTAGCCTCAATATTTGCTTGTTCCAAATACTAACCTCGGAGAGTTTGCTTTTTTTTCGTTTTATATGGCAATATTAATATACTAAGTGACATATAAATCCGAACACCCAGTTTAAATGGTTTTATTTTAATAAAATTTTGTATAAGTACTTAATGAAGCATAATAAGTAAATGATAAAAATTTCAAAATGATTGCACTGCTTTAAATCCCTTTGACCTTTAATAATGTGTGGATGCACCCTGATGTGCTACGCATTCTCCAACGCGCCTAGGCATGCTTCTGATCAGGTGGTCAATGTCCTCCTGTGGTATCTCATTCCAGGCAACCACCAACTCCTCTCGAAGTGCTTCTAGAGTCTGAGGAGGACGTTGCAAATTGAGCAATCTCCTACCCATCATATCCCACACGTGCTCAATTGGGGATAAGTCGGGAGATCTTGGTGGCCATGGTAACAATGTGACATCATTATGTTGAAAGAAGTGTATTGTGACTCTTGCAACATGTGGTCGGGCATTATCTTGTTGGAAAGTTGGATCTGCCAGGGTGTCAAGATAGGGTAAAAGATTGGGTTCTAGAACTTCGTGGATATAACGCTGCGCGTTCATGTTACCTCTGATGAAGATTAAAGGTGACCTGGAACCATAAGCTATAGCACCCCAAACCATAACTCCAACAGTGTGATGAACATGTCTTTCAACAAAAACTGTGGATTCCTTCTTTCACCACGTCGCCTTCTAACCCTGGCACGACCATCGTGCATGCCTAAACAAAATCGAGACTCGTCACTAAAGACAATACTGTTCCATTCCTGATCCCAGAGTGACCGTTGTATGCACCACTCAAGGCGATTACGTCGGTGTTCTCGAGTTAAAGGGAGGACCCAGTGTGGCCGGTATGAAAACAAGCCAAAACTTCTCATTCGTCGGTAAACACTTCGCATGCCAATAGGTCTTCCGTGTTCTGCAAACCATTCATTTGCAATGGACCTGGTAGTGGAGAAACGGTCCCTTAAGGCCAATAATCTTAGGCGGCGATCTTCACGGTCTGTTGTTCTACGGCGGCGTCCAGTGCCCCTTGCTCTTTGCGTACGGCCTTCTCGAAGCCATGCCTGACAACACCTAACCACAGTGTCTACACTTCTTTGCACTCTAACTGCAATTGCCCGAAAAGAAAGTCCAGCTTCCCGAAGTCCCACTATACGGCCCCTATCAAACTCACTAAGTTGACGAAATCGTACAGGTCTCCCTACTCTAGGCATCGTAATCGATCGTAAAGGATGTCAAGAACCAAAATCCGCCAACGTTGATTCTTTATTGCGGCTGAAATATTCATTTTTAGAGCGTTAGTGAATTTAAAAAAAGCAGTATAAAAACCGGAATGTCCAAGTGATAAAGCTGAAAATTTTTTCACTTGTTATTTACAGTAAGATAAATACATTCACCAACTTTTATTAAAATAAAACCATTTAAACTGGGTGTTCGGATTTATATGTCACTTAGTAGACCGGAAACTGGGTTTCATGACCTAGATCCCATGGACACTTCTTATCACCGCGCTAAATATGAGGGCACCGCAAAATTTCCCTAAATCTGCCCATGCTTGTTGAGCATTAAAATCCACATTATCTTTTACAATTGCAAAGCAAAAAAAAGAATGGCTACCCCGATTGCCTGAAATGCGCCAGCAATGGCACAGACTGCTGTATCATTTTAATTCTAGGAGAGTTCCCAAGCGACAATTTCTATTTTCAAGTCTGAACTGGCCGACAGGAAGCTTTCATAACTGATTAATATATTAGCTGAGATTATATAACAGATTTGAGGCAAAACTTTTTATAACTAACTATGGTCACAAAATACTGATATTCTATGTCAAAATAAAAACGGAATTTATCCCATTATAGTCAAATAAATGTGGGCCAACACTTTTCAGGTAATATGAATTACAATATAAACTCAAACTAATATTGATAACAACGCAACATTTTGCGGATACGATATTAAAAAGAAAATAATAGCAGGCCATGGAAACAAAAGTGTTTACAATTTGAAGTTTTGATTTAAGAATCAATTCTGTGAATCGACTTGCTTTACAATATCGCGTGGTAAAGCAACAAGCAATAATTAGAGTTTTAATCATACAATTATTTCATTAAGGAAAGAGTTTTCGGAATATGTATTGCTAAACAAATAAATGTCGCTAAGTCTATGGTGGCAGATATTGTAAAAAGTCTGGAGCCACATGTTCAACTCAAGTTTCAAGACATGGTGATGGTAGGCCACGTAAGATCAGTCCTAGAATGCAAAGATCTCTTGTTCGTATTCGTAAAGCTGGTCGTCGAGGTACTGTAATGAAGAAACAGCAGGAAATATTTCACGAGAAACGTACCGTCGCGTCGGTGGATTCATAAGTCTGGTTTACATTTTTATACGGTAGGTAGGTTGCATTTAAGGGACATATGGTGTAAAAGCAAAAAAAGGCGATTAGCGTGGGCTAAGGAACGGGCAATGTGGAAAAAGATCATTTTTAGCGATGAATCGAAATTAGATGTTTGTGTGGGTGACTACCGATCCCGGGTTACAAGAAACAAAAATGAAGTGTTTTATAAAGACTGCCTAAAGAGAGAAGTGAAGTTTCCATCAAATTTAATGGTATGAGGAAGCATATCTGGAAAACTTCACTTCATAGACGGATCTGTAAAAACTGTTAAATGTCCTTGAAACCAATTCCAATTTTATCACCTGATAGAAACTTTATTTTTCAACAAGATGGCACATCATGCCATACGACCAAAGCCACGAAAAAAAAATGGTTGCAGGATAATAATATTTCCCTCCTTGACTGGCCTTCCAGTAGTCCTGATTTAAATATTATGGAAACTTTATGGCAGAAAATGAAGCTGCACTTAAGAAATGATCCACAACGAAAGATTTTTGATTTATGAGTAAAATTACAAAATATATGTGATTCTTTTATGGTGGAAGATTGCGAAAACCTTGTTAAAACTATACAAGCCACAATTAATGCTGTCATTAAGGCAAAGGGAGACATAACAAGCTTTTGAAATGGTTCGTCCAAGCATTTATGTGACAGCCAAATCTTGCATTTGTTATCAATATTAGTTTGGTTTTATAGCTTAACATCATATTACTTGACAAAATTTTAATATGATGTCCAAATAATATATTTCAATGTCATATAAAAAAAAAATTATAAACAAATTTTAGGATAAAATTAGATAATGTCCGAATTATTTTGTGTTAGGGCTTGTATAATAGCAATTCTCTTGCGTAAAATGTTTGTTAAGAAATTATTTTATTTTACCTTAATAAGTAGCATAATTGTCTCTAAACAACTTCTGTGAGGATACTGAGGACTTAACTGGAAGCCATTGATATCGACAATCATGAGAAGTAACTTTGTTCTTTCTACATGTTTCAGGAATTGATGTCCCATCCCTTTGTTTTTGTGAGCTCCTTCTATCAAACCTGGCAGGTCTGCCATTGATATCTGTCTCAAGTCTTTATAGGACAGAATACCTATATTTGGTCTCACAGTTGTAACTGAAAAAAGAAATGATAATTAAAAATTCTCGAAATTATAAATCTATCTCGAATAAGATATTTGTCCCATGGGAACATATATATGCTCTGTGACATTAGAAGTGTTACACCCAAAAAAAATAATTTCTTCAACTTTTTTTGGCAATGAGGTAGTCTTACATCAAGATTGAAACAATAACGTTCTCACGAAATTTTATTGACAAATAACAAGAACAAAAATTAATAATATATTGGGCTACCCCAGCTGAATACACTCCTTTATGGACGGCCCTCTAGATACGGCAGTAAAGTAGTTTGTAGAACATCAACATAACGCGCAGCAGTCTTATTGCCTTGAACAGAGAGAAGCGGTGATCGGCTACGATAGCCAGTAGCCTCCCAAACCATTACTCCAACAGTCCCGTGTACATGCCTCTCAACATCAAATCCAATATCACGCCGTTCCGCACGGCGGCGTTTTACCTTTCTTCGACCATCGTACGTACCATGACAGAATCGCGATTCGTCGCTGAAGATGACATTATGCCATTCTGCGTCCCGATGTTGCCGTTCTCTGCTCAAGTTCAAACGTTGACGACAGTGGTCCACAGTCATAAGAAGTACGCACCGTGAACGGTATGAAAAAAGACCAAAGGCTCGAATGCGGCGATAGATTGTAACCATTGGTCAGCGATCTGACGCGTAGTAGCAAAACGGTCTCGTAGGGCTAGTTGTCTGGAGTGCCTATCTTGACGCTCTGTGGCACGCCTCGGTGGACCAGTTGGCCTTCTTCGAGTGCCTCTACTTTTTTCTATCCACACACGCATTACCGACATTGCAGTACAATCAACACGGCGGCCAATTTCGTGATAGGACAAACCAACATCTGGACAGGCAATAATTCTACCCCTGTCAAAGTCGTTAACATGGTGATAATTTGGGCGTCTTCGGCCTCGAGGGATTTTGTTATGCTCAACACTAGTAACTGAAAGGGCAATAACTAAAAATATCTGTACTACTCATTACTCAAAAACAGTTTTCTTCACAAAAACTAAGGGCTAACATTGGCATTGTTGCCACAGCATGATTTAAATACATATAGTCATTACGTTGCCAAAACAACAAGTTGGGGAAATTATTTTTTCTGGGTATAACACTTCTAATGTCACTGAGTATATCAGTAGTTCCAATTGAGGAACTCAAGGTTAAGACAAAGGGGGCAGGTGAAACCGCGGATGAGGATTACGGGGGAGACAAAGGGTACAGGGTGACGTAAGAGTCCCCGAACTGAAGGAGCAAAATATTGAGTTACTACGATAATTTGGGGAAAGCAATTTAAAAAAGATGCCTTGTATGGATCCCTGCAAGGAGAACTGGGTCCTGGAGGCGCCTCTCGCAATATTCAAGAAAATGGTGTAGAACGGAAGAGTGAATTTCGACCTGGAAATCTTGTGTGTGGAAAAATACATACATGGCCCAATAAAAAGGTTGCACCCCATTTGTAAGTTTCCTGGTAGATTTAGGGAAAACCTCCCCGACACGTCAATTTTGATTTCTAGGGGGACGCCTTTTCATCTATAGTCGAACAATACAGGGTGATCCAACAATAAGGTAATGCGTGACACTTTAGATTTTTAAATGGAAACTCCCATTTTTTTCATTTTTTTGGAAACTTTTGTATAATAAAGTTTATACCTATCTTCAATCATTGTGAAGCTATTTGAGTTTATAATAAAATTCGTCTAACTTCATACTAATAATAATGGAATACACGGCAAAAAATAATAATCATGGATACCAGCAAGAACATTTATCATCAGACAGTGTCTTTGTATGCCATAAGTTACCTACGTGGTCATTATTGAATTAAAAAAGGGTGGAAATAAAACTGTATTACCAAAATAAGAGCATTGCAAGAGCTCAGTTGTTTAATGTGTGACATCCAGACAAAAATAAGTATGAGTATAAGTCGATAAGAAAATTTGAAAAAACTGGATCTGTGTCTAATATTCAATGTAATCGACCAGTTAGAAATGAAGCCATAAAAATAGCAGTTTTGGGACACCCAAAGCACTCGTGGACTGGCTACTTCTTCAGGATCTACACACTCAACAGGACAAAGAATTTTGAAGAATAATAAATTTCACCCATACAAGATAAAACTTGTTCATGAGCTCAGAGGTTGGAGTTTTGTGAATTAATGCCTCAACATTTAATCAACAATGCAAATCTGTTGTTTAATAATTTTTTCTCGAATGAGTGTACATTCTATTTACATGGTGCTGTAAATAGACATAATTGTCGATATTTTGGAGTGACTAGAATCCACATTAACGTGAACGCCGCATTTCTGCAGGTTGATTTTCATATAATATCAATTTTTTCGCGTTACCCCTCGCTTTCTAGAGGTCTTTGAAGGAGGGGTAAAACTTTTACAGCACATAGAAAGGCATTAAAACAATCGATCTACGTTAAAACCGCATCCATTTATGTTTATTTGAACCCAAATTACGTCGGTAGAAGTGGTAATGGCAAATTTTCGGCACTGCTGCGTTTTTACCGTTTCGATCAAAACGTGATCGATCGGAACTTCAGCCGCATATGCTTATGAGAACTCTGGTAGATTACGGTTAAAATCCTTCAGATTAACCTGTGTAGGGGGAGACCTGCTAATGGTCTAATGAGAAAAAGAGAATTTCAATGGGGTTGGGATGTGGTTCTTATGCAAGAACCGTACATGTATGAGGACGAGTGGAGGGGTGATAAGGGACCTCCTACAATTTAGGATGGGCAATTATGTGATCATCGCACTCGAGGGGTCATCATATACAATCGCTATTATGAGCCTGGAAGTAGAAGGTTAAGGTCAAATTAAAGTTACTGAAGACCTGACCTTGATCTTTTCCAAAACTACCTTACCTGAGAAAATGACTTTTGTGTCACACTGTATAGTCTTGAGACAAAATGAATGTAAAACCAAATAAGCTTGTGTTCTTAGTTGACACTGAAAACCCAAATACCATATAATCACCCATATCTTTTTGTGTATCTGTACATGCAAATTCTAGAAATATCTCATGAGAACTGAATTCAGTTATTATTGATATTTCATAGCAAGTTTCCTATAACACAAAAGTCTCTAGAAATGTGCTCAGCAATTCAGCTGAAACTTAATATAAATGTTAAAGTTGAAAAATAATGAGTAATTTCAAAGACATTTAAATATTCATTATTTGACCATATTAAACAAGGATCTATTTACTACTTCTTCTTGCATAGTGACTGGGCACTTTGAAACTTTTACATAAGAGAGCATCTAGTGACAAATCATTATTTCACTTATTTTTATGAACAAATAAAAGAGTTAATATAGGAAGTTGTTAATAAAGCAAGATCGAGATACACAATTGAAATGTTACCAAACTATAGTTCGTAAAATGATATAAACTTACAAGGATAGGCAGCAATCCTAGGTTTAGCATGTGATATAGCCTTTAATAAAGTACTTTTCCCAGCATTTGGAAATCCTACTAGCCCAATATCAGCTATCAATTTTAGATCTAACTTCACAGGATAAGCTTCTCCTTTAACACCTAAGAATCCATTTTTTGGATGTCCTCCAGGGCCCCCTTTTGCCAATACCAATTCTTCATTTTCCTCATTTAATTCTCCGAGTTTCTTTCCAAAATCTGTAACAAGTGTCACACCAACTGGAACTTCAACCTTCAGATCTTCTCCTGGAGTTCCCAATATGAAATTGTGTGTAGAATGTCGCCCTGAAGCCGCAATATATCTTTTGCTGCGATTCGCTTTATAAACTTGTTCAAGTGTTAAATTTTCTTTAGCCACTGCTACTACGTTAGCTCCTTTACCACCAACACCACCAAATCTGAAAGAATTACGTATATTAGCACTGCAGGAACAAGACGCTTTAAGGACATACTTTGGTAAACCATTGCCTCCTGCACCGCCTTGTACAAAAATTCGTAACGTATCCTTAAAACCTTCACGGAGATACCTCCGCGTCGTCTTTTGTTTAATTTCAGATAAAATCACTGTGGATAGCTTTACCATGTTGATTTTTATTTCTTCATGATTTTCCTTGACATATTAGGGAGATATTGCAAACATCTGCCTTATTAGTGCAGACCTTATTTTGACATCTACGCATGCGCACATACAATTCTGTATCTATGAGGAATTAATAGGGATAAGGCACGTCCTTATTTAAGCTATAATAGGGGGAGCTTATTTAGGCGTTCTTATGTCACGACGATTCACGATCTAAGCAAATCGGGTGTCGTCGCAAGCCTATTTAACCTATAAATTTGTACTCTCAAAATTCAACGATTGCTGAAGCGTTTTGGTAACTATGAATATGGATAAAAAGAGAATAAGGTTCACGTATGACGACGAAATGATTTTGCTGCGTGAATTTATTGCACAAAACCCTATCCGTTCTCCTGAGAAGTGGGACTCAATCTTACAGAACTTGCGAGAGCTTACGGGAAAAGAATTTATTTTGAGAACAATAAAAAAGCATCTGAACCATCTTCTGGAGCTGTTCCTCAAAAAGGAGGTTAACAGCAAAGTCAAGTAAGTATAAGATAGCACACTGTACCTACATGTATTTTAATAACAAGAGAATGCTTAATGTAAGACTTGGTGAAACAACATTTGTGTTTGACAGGTCTGGCATAGAAGAAGTCTATAATGAAAGAGAACATATGCTCCAAGAAGCCAGCGAGTTAATGAAAGAGACCTGCTCAACTACACCAGCAAAAAAGAAAAAAGTGGAAAACAAAGCGAAAGATATGATTGAAAAGACACGCAATGAAAGAGAGGCTATGGCACTGCTGGCCTTTTCTGATGTGGATGACACTTTAATCGACCATGATTACGGTAAAATAACTATTCTAAACATTTTTTATACATATTACTATATTATCACAGTTTTAGGTGTTTGTGTTACAGTCGACGTTGACACAGAAAATAATAATAAGTCTGTACAAGATGTTGGAACTGCAAAACAGATATCTGTACAAGATGTTGGAACTGCAAAACAGATATCTGTACAAGATGTTGGAACTGCAAAACAGATATCTGTACAAGATGTTGGAACTGCAAAACAGATATCTGTACAAGATGTTGGAACTGCAAAACAGATATCAGGTAAAACAATGATTAGAATTACTGCTTGAATCTTCAGTAATAGAAACACTAAAACAGATCCACAGGTTATGGAGTATGACCAGTAAATAAAACCAGTGCTCGATATAAAATGTGTAGGTACTTATGTTATATACTTTGATAAAAGCCAGTGCAATGACTAACCTGTCAGTGAACTTCTTTTGTTTAGCACTGCGGTTTTATTTACAGGCCAGACTAACCAAATAGTGGATCCAGATGACTACAGCGTATATAGCATTGCCATGGCATCCCATTCAGAGGGCTACTACTAGATTAAGTAGTTTCTAGTATGTTATACATTACCTATAAAACAGAAAGCTCAAAACTACCTCTTACATTTCATGTTCAAGATTAAATACATTTGTTTATTGTTGCTGTTACTTACTTTTCGATCATTACAGCCCCCCGTACCAAAAGGATGAACAAAAGTAAAACATTGAGAAAAAATGGCCTTGATTACCTACGAGAAAAAGCGGAAATATCACGAGAAATAAGATCTGCAGAACTCAAGTTAGAAGAACAAAAAATGGATAATGAAAAAGAAAAAATTGCAAATGACAAAGCAAGACTTGCCTTGGAGTCTAAAAGGCTTGAGGCAGAAATTCAAGAAAAAAAACATAGGATAGAGTTAGAACAAAAGAAATCTGAGCAAGATGTCGCTGAAAGAAAAAACTTGAGTGACCTCATCAAAACACAACAAAAGCTTATTGAAGCATTACTGACAAAACTTGATAATAGATAATTTGCCATTAAAAAAATAATATACTGGCCTTATATTGAAATAATAATGTTGATGCTAAGGATGGTGAGCACAAACCAAGTTTGTTGCCGAAAATATATGAAATTGATTCTGCAACTGGTTCCATGTATGAACATAGTAAAACTGTGTAACTTCAGGATCAAACATATTTCATCCACAACTCCTGAAGAAGTTGATTTCATATATTTTCAGCAACATACTAATTTAGTTTTGAAATCTCTTATTGGGTGCTTGCTGCCCTTATGGTTGTAAAATAAATAAACATACATTCCAAACAAGCTTTATTGGTCTTACAAGTCTATAAAAAATTACAAATTATCATCAAGCGTTACAAGTTAGAAACAACCCAAAATTTAGATGTAAAAGATGGCTAGCGCCATCTAAATTTGCGCTAGAGATAGTTTCTTTGCAAGTTTCGTCAATGACGACGCAGGCAAAGCAGAAACCCCTTACGATTTCTGGTCGCTGACTCAGATGAATTGTACAGAGTACAGATACCCCGGTACCAACCAACAGTAGCCGGCCACCAGAGTCGTAACGCAAGGCGTTCACAGGACAAACTAACAATAGCATTTTCTGCAGAACATGCAATAATATAGTCTGATATACTCGTTTGCTTTCCATTGCAAAGAAACTAGTTCTAGCGAAATTTAGATGGCGCGAGCCATCTTTTACATTTACCGTCTTCCCGCTATTTGATAGACCACATTCGCTTGTTTACTTTCCATTTGTCCGCCTTCACGGCTGGACCTGATACAGACCTATACCATACTGATGAGGGCTAAAGAGCCCGAAACAGCGCTGTCTGCGGTTGGTCTTGGCTGCGGCGATGGAAAGCAAACGAGTATTTCAAACCCAAAATGTCCTCTATTTATCAGTGGCCTATGTAGGTCTCAAGTGAAGGTGGATTTGTATTGAAATACATAGCAGTCTGACTACTATACAGGCATGTATGGCAGTTAGTAAGTAGTACAGCCACCTTGTATAAAGCATCAACGTCTTGAAGTAGCATTTTTTGGTTTTTTGAAAAATCTACAAAGGCAAATTCTGATATGACTTTCTGAAAACCCCATTCTACTGCTATCCTTAGAACTTTCATAGCAGAATTGAAACTCTGCTGATGGGCAGGTAAATCTTCCATTCTGCCATGAAATGGGGTAAATAGCACATCACTCAGCCCATATCCTTGATCACCAAATAAAACAAATCGTCTTGTGTCAAAACATGTCTTTTGCACTAATTCTTCAGAGATACCTGACTCCCTAAATATTCTGGCATCATGCCTTCTTCCCGGATATGCGCCTTTCAAACTAACAATAATTCCATCAGGACAAATTATTGATTGGAATTTTATGCAGTGATACCTTTTGTGTCCTGAATAATACTCTTCTTGATTTTCAGAGGGTCGACAAATTTTCCTTGCTGTACCATCGATGAAACCCCAACAATTATTCATAGGTGCTCCTTTATTATGAATAGCCTACAAAAAGCACATTTCAGCATTTTATGAACCAACCATCACTTCAACTATATTACACAATACAATACCTGTGCATAATACTCCAACTTCTCCCTATTAAACCACTGCAATGAATTCAAATTGTTGAGAAGTACAGCATGCTCCTCCATAATCACACTTATCAATTTATTTATGATTTGTGACAAAGACTGAGTTGACAAGTGGAACATAGGGACCATATCACACAATCTGTTTGGATATGCCAGCCGTCTTAGTAGAATGCACAATGCTGTTAAACCTGAAAGAAGATAAATGGAACTTATACTGTGGTTTTCATGTTGATAGAATTCCAGCCTCTGGCAAGTGTTGTTTGAGTCAGAGGATGGAGTTCGATTGAAATGATGAACATATAGCAATAAATATTTAAACAAAATCATACCATCCACTTTATTACGTGTGATAGTGACAATTTCTGAAGGTATTCGTAAAACAGCCATCAGCCTATGAAGGTCAGACCTCTCAAATCGAAAATTTAGTCTTATTACTTCATCTGGCAAGTTTTCCAAGTTGAATTGTGCTGTATGAGTAATGCCTCTATCAATAAATATATTATGGAGGATGATATGTTCTATTTCCTCCTCATCTGCTCCTGCCAATATAACTGCTTCCAATTCAGCTTCCATTTTACAATCTCACTTCTCACACCTTTGGTAGAATTTCAACTACGAACCACCTATATTATGCAAGCAAAAACTGGAAGGAAAAGTGAGGTTAAGATAAACACCATCAAAGCGAACTGTCAAAATACGTTACATGTGCAATATCTCTAATTCCACTGTACTTATTTAGGTTCACCTAAATAATGCATACCCTTATTTAGGTCCATATGCAATATCTCTCTATTATCGTTTTATTAACCTAAAGAGCACAAGGCACAACACAAATACATATGGACGAACTGGCAACACCAAGGTTATCCTCTCCTCTCCTGGCAAAATCGAGGTAACTGTATTACCGGCATCTCGTGACGTGTGCTTGCCGAGATTCAGGGTTGTCAGGCGTGCCGATTTTTTGCCAAAGTGGCGATTTGACGGCTTCAAATGGATAGCTTGGCGATTGGCTACTTTAATAGCAATTTTTAACATTTCTGACGCCAATTAATTTGTAATCAATTTTTGCTGATATGTGTATACAGGGAAAACCAAATTTGTCTGATGGCTTGAGTTTAATATGTACGAGAGAGAAGCGCAAGTAGTGTGGATCAACACATGTTAGAAAGAAATAGAAGCCGGCTGAAGGGCGAAGGTCATCACCACATTGCCTAGCAACAGTGACGTAGAAGCTCGTGCAAGCTTCCGCGTTGACAAAATGTTACACCAGAATGTTCGCACAGGCTTCTACAATAGGTTAGGTTACTGTCAAACCCAAGAAGAAGGTCTAGTTGAAGCAGGGCGACACTCCCCAATTAGCGCTAGATGGGTACTGACCAAAATCGCTCATCTACGATCATGGAGGGGGAAACCTTGCCTTGAAATGTACAAGATCCGGTGTTATCAAACGAACCAATGATGCAATGTTGCAGGATTCATGACGATACTGACCTTTTATTCCGACCTAAAATGCAGCGCCATTAGGGCCGATCCGGAATCGATCCTAAACAGATTCGACACAATTCACAATTAAAAAATGTGTACGCTCAAAATAAAACCATTATTTGGGCGTAGAGAGTAAACTAACCCATGTTTTCATCATGCACCTTAATTCAAGGAACTGGTGTAATATAATGGCGACGAGGCAGATTGCCACCTCTGCGTTGATAGGCAATGCGGTGATGAGCTTCGCTATCCAGCCGGCTTCTATCTCTTTCAAGCATATGTGTCAATAGACACTTCTCCTTCGACCAGATTGAACTTAAGCCGTCAGACAAATTTCGTTTTCGGTGGAGATTAATCAATCATGAAACTAGGACCACCGGAATTTCTGTTCTCTACGCACAAAGACTCTTATGGTCAAATGTCATGTCAAGGTGTCGTGTTTCGAGCATATCAACGACATCCCATCCTAACAGCTTTGACACATTGTTGCTTGATGTACGATTATTACAATTTTTGTACGATAACCGGGAAAAGAGAGAGATAACCCCCCCATAAAAAAAAAGATCCCTGGGGAAAGGTAAATACGCAGAAAATTATAGTCTCCCCGCTCTTCAATTTTCATTAGTCGGTAACCGTCCTCCGTTTTCTCATTGTCACAATATCACAAGAATATTCGCCAGAAGTTCCGCCACCTCAAAATGTCCCTCTGGATCCGCCCTTGTGAACGAAGTTTCGTTAATATTACACGTGTCTAACAACCCCCCCTTCCCCACCCCCCGCTTTTCAATGAATTCTTGGAGTATTATATGCCTAACCCCCCCTCAACTTCGCTCTTTAGTTATCGTGAACAGGTAGGCTACTTAGGTGCTTAGGCCAGTCACTAATTCACATTCCCGGGCGACAAATCCATTCCAGTCTCTAACCTGGAGTTTTATGGTTAGACTCCTAGTTAATTTGGATGGGCGATATCTGGCGATTTTCTCATCAAAACTTGACGACCAACGTGACTGAAAACCTGGCGACCCTGCCAGGATTCTCTATCTTAACCTGAATTTCTGAATGTAAAAATATCAAATATGGCGTTTGTTTTGGTTAATATCGAGATTATCAACGCTGATGCTTTTGGAGATATTTCGTAAAAAATGAGCATAAAATAGCAAGTGACTAGCTTATTTACAAAGAATTATGAATTACATTAGTGTTTTTGCTGTATTTCAGAATTATCAAGAAGCGGTACATTGAAGTGAGACACTTGTGTTTTACAACACTCAACATGAATTTGAAATAAATCTATCTATATTTTCATGTAATACAATTTCTATACCATTGTCAACACCATATGAATATTTTTGAAACTGAATAAATTTGGTGCTTCATAATTATTAGGGTTGGATTTTATTATGCTGAACCTTTTTCTCAGTAAAATTGCTGAAAGAGCTAATACCCTTATTGGTATTTTTTTTGAATATATGTTCATGAAATAATCCTTCAATATCGGAAATATCATGTTCAGCAGATTTCAAATTATGAAGAAACGAAATCCCCGACAGCCCGGTACATTCATTATTCCACCCGCATTTTCGGCTTTCTTTCGATAATTCATCCAGATCTCCAGGCATGTAGGCGGCGCAACCCTCTGACAAAACGTCAACGGTGTTGCCATTGTTTAACGTGCAGCTCCTAGTTCTTCAGTCTTATGGGTTTTGTGATAAACACTTGGAACACAAAGCTGAGGAAGGTTCAGTCCCGTGCTATCCATAGGGCAACAAAGGTAGATTTATGTCATTGTCAACATAGGGCAATACGGTAGATTTATGTCAGTGTGAACCGCTATTTTTTTCTGGATGCCTAGCGTTGCCAGACGTACGATAATTATCGTTTTTGTACGATAATTTCAAATACTGTACGATAGTATGTGTAGGATAATAGCTGAATGTACGATAATTTTGCGAATGAGCTTTTTTACTCACAGATTTTGAATCAATTTAACAACTACGTTCAATTAACACCAGCAAGCAGCTGCCATTGTTGCCGCTTCGTAGACAAACGTGCGTACCCCGCTCTGTATTATGGGTTGCACAATCGGAAAGGGGTTGTGTTGATTTTGAGCCAACAGACAGAATGATGAATTTGATGACTTCGTCAAATCTACAGGGTATCTGCAAAGTTGGGGTTTTCCTTTTTAGAAACAACTACCCTTGAAATAACAAAGGTAATGTGTAGTAAAACGAGGACGACCAAGTAAAAAAAAAATAAAGGAAAAAGTACTCACTCTCCAGTTGACGAGAAGGGCCAAGTACGTCTCTGCCCGAAATCATACCGCTCCAACAGAAAATGAAATCAGCTGATGCGCTACCGAGCAGACGCAGGCAAACAAGGAAGGCAAAATGTTGCGTAAAAAGTCTAGGTATTGCATCCCGTCCAATCGATTTTGGAGAATAAATGGTCCAATGAGCATACCGTTCACCATGCCAGCCCAAAGATTCACCGAAAATGTTTGTTGAAAATGTGCCCGACGGACAGCGTGCGGATTTTCTACTGACCAAACATGAGTGTTGCGAAAGTTATTCACCCCATTACGCGTGAACGTAGATTCGTCTGTCACCAATATGCACTTCAAAAAGTCCGGATTATTGTCATGTTGATGCAACAACCACTCACAAAACCGCACTCTTGCTGAAAAATCGTCAGGTTGAAGGGCTTGTACACGTTGGACGTGAAACGGATACAGCCCCTCTTCACGCAGCGTTTGCCACACTTTAGTTTTTGATACTTGCACTTCTCTAGCCACGTCTCTAGTACTTGTTGTTTTTTGAAACGCAATCGATTACACGCGTGACCGTAACCGTCGGTTGAAGTTTGCTTACTGACCTGACACACTGACCCCAACCCAGTTCTGTCGTCGGGTTGAGCTAGTGTCCTAGTACCAGTTGGGGATGTCGCGAGTCGCGGCTACAGGACGGTATTCAGATATTTTTGATGTTGCAGAGCCCTTTATCTCGGTTCCCTTAAGACATTGGTGTATATGGTACTAAGAAAAATTGCTTATGTTTTCAAGATCTACACGTCGTGTAAAGGAAAACCCCAACTTTGCGAACACCCTGTATATGGCTTGAAATTCGACAGTGTACAGTGAAGGTAATTATTTCTTATCTCTCTCATTTTTGAAATTCAGTAAATTTGCATATGTACAACTAAGTGCTAAGTTAAAATCTTGCGGAAAAGCCTACGTAATGTCAAAAAAATCGATATATATTTTCTCATTTTCCCCCGTCTCTGGCATCTGTTATTTTAGCGACACTCCCAGCCTCGGATGTTAACTATTTGACAACGACATTGTGATCAACACCGCGCCCTCGTTGCGTGTTATTACTCTTAGCATGTATATGGCTTGTATTTCGACAGTGTACAGTGAATATTCAGCTTTGTATATAGGGTGGCCCATCCATGTGTGGACGGAATATATATATATATATATATATATATATATAAACAAATACATTTTAGGAAAAATCTATTTATGGGATGTTATACATGACATTTGAGGGCACATTTCTAAAATATTGGCAATTATACAGGGTGTCCCAATTTTGACCTACATATCAAAGTTGTGATTTAATAAATGGAATGCCTCATATTTTATTGCATATTTGGATAAACCAATTCAAAAGAAGAAGATTGATATGATACTATGTGGTTTTGGTAATTATCTACTGAGATGTAATGTGTTTTATCAAGAAAAACCGTCTACTTCAGCAACCCCTCAATCCGCCATTTTGAAATTTAGAATGCTTTATTTTGTATTAAAAAAAACTTACATACCTCAGCTTTTATTTTATTTATTACTTTTTCGAATTCTCATTTTTGCTCGTACAGGGTGGGCAATAACGCTAATTGTACTTTTTCCCAAAAATTTCAAATACATCACCCTGTATATTTGTCCAAGTTTGGATTCATTTTTTGGTATAAGGTTTGATTCAAATAAAATCACTAGATTTTGAATTATTAAGCTTTTAATAGAACATCACACCAAAATTAAAGAAAAAAATCACATCATTCATAGAAACAAAAGACAAACAGTGTTCCATATTGCCTACAGATTTGACGTAAAGACTATTAACAATCAGAACCGTATAAATCAGCTTCAAGCGTAATAGAGAAAAACAACTATAACAACATAAACAACCAACTATCACTACTCAAGACTTAATCTACAAAAACTGCTCGAAAATACCTCCACCATGTTGAATACATACCCGTAGTCTTTGGATAAATGGCCGTTGCACATCCCTCAGCATGTGTTTGTTCCCTTATGTTCAGAAAAGCATCCTTAATCCTTTCCTTCATATTTTCCGGGGTAGATATCTATAAACCTCTTGCTTAACGTAGCCCATAGAAAGAAGTCCATCGGTGTCATATCTGGTC